TGAAATAACACTCCGCCCTTAGTTAGTTATAGTGCAGGTATGTCATTCCAGTATACGCTTTACACACACAGAAAAGGTGGCTGAAATAACACTCCGCCCTTAGTTAGTTATAGTGCAGGTATGTCATTTCAGTATACACTTTACACACACAGAAAAGGTGGCCGATATTACACTCCGCCCTTAGTTAGTTATAGTGCACTGTATGTCATTTCAGTATATGCTTTACACACATTAAGCTTCAGTACAAAATAAAAAATAGTGGGTAACAGTTATAAAAGCAAAATTTGATAACACGCAACCATTCAGAATGACCATGTACCTGAATTCCGGAATTGGCAATCCGCCTATCGTTTTCAAATATGCATTATACCGTGACACTGGGCGCTGAAACAGTTATGGTGGTTTTCAGGACAAGACACTTGCAACCCTGATTCTGATTNAAAAAAAATATGTCTGAAAAACAGAAGTTGCTGGTTCATATAAGTTAGCTCAAAATGTTAACAATACCATTTAATTATATGACACCACTAGTACTTCGTAAACATAGCTGGTCTGTTTAAACGTTTTACCTGCTCAGCAAGTCAGATTATCCCTCACTTTCAATTTGAGGGGTACTGTTACCTGTCTGGAACACTGCATTTGTATTCCACTCTACACTATAATTACAACTGCAATATATATACTCATAACACACAACACATAACACACAACACACATTCAAGTGTACAAACATTCTGGTTTTAATTCTTCAAATAATATTATACATTTCTATGACTTAGTTTCAGTTTTGAAAATAAATAATAATATCATGGCATGTTCCACACAATGATTTATCATCAATGTTCCACACAATGATATATCATCAATGTTCCACACAATGATATATTATCATTGTTCCACACAATGTTATATCATCATTGTTCCACACAATGTTATATCATCAATGTTCCACACAATGTTATATCATCAATGTTCCACACAATGATATATCATCAATGTTCCACACAATGATATAT